GAGAAAGTTTAAGGACTTTGCACTAGAAAAGCATCAAGATAAAAATTCAGGTCTTTCTGACTTCTAAGCCTTGACTCTTCCATTACCCTATACTAGTTGCATGAGAAAGCTGCTTCCTATAAAGCTCAAACATAGAACGAGGGCAGAGCCATCATGGCGTGACATACAATTATTGCTTATCGTAACTGGGGAATTAAAAATCGTTGAGCCACCACTCCCAGCTCATTGCTCAGACTCAGCCTAGGTACTGACATCTCGCTCTGCACATTCAGCATGGTTGTTGTGATCTCTCATCACCAACTCAAATGCTTTAAAAGTATATTGGGTTTAATGACTTCATTCTTATTTATAAAGTTCTTAAGATATGTGTTAGTTAAGGTATTGTAAAACAAAACAAAAATACAGACAGACTGTGTTAGATGTCTTTAATCTTCTTTATTAACATACCCCTGTGATGAATATTATGTTTCATAGATGGGAAAACTGAAGCTTAGAAAATCAAATAACTTACTGAAGAGGTGGTTTGCTTTTTGGAATTTTTTTTTTTTTTTTTTTGTTTCATAGATGGGAAAACTGAAGCTTAGAAAATCAAATAACTTACTGAAGAGGTGGTTTGCTTTTTGGAATTTTTTTTTTTTTTTTTTTTCAGTTGTAAGACAGCTAGAGACACATGTGTAATAAATACGTGGAAGATCTATTGCTTCCAAAGGTCATACTTCTCTGATTTGGCTAATGTTGCCTTTCCACATGTCCCTGAATGCTCTAATTAAATAGTTCCTAAAGCTGATAAATCCTGAAATTCAACTTTCCATATTTGATCATGAAAAAGTACGGTATGCGAACACCTCCCATTTAGACAAGGAGGGTCAACGCACTGATGTGTAAAGACCCAGAAATCCTGGTGTGAAAGCCCATAAACGGCACCAGCAGACTCTGGTTCCTGGATGCGTAACTTACCCAACACACTGTGCTCCGGCCAGCACTGTCCCTGCCCTTAGATGAACCACCCAGGGCCCGGGAATGATAGGGCAGGGGAGGTTTGCTGGGGCAGCTCCGAATTCCTCCACTTGTGGCTTGCAGCCTTTGGCCCCTTGATCTCCACTTCCCAGCCGATAGGAAGAAAGGAAAACAGAGAGCAAAGGGAAAACAGCTTCCTTATAAAAACAAAAAGGTAAAAAGAAAAAGCCAAAACTGTCAGTATGTGGAGATGATCATGTACATTGAAAACACAAGAGCATCAACAAACAAACTGTTGAAAAAAGCAGGAGAGTTCAGCAAGGCTTCTGAATAGAAGGTCAATATACTAAACTAATAGCAGTTTTTTCACACTGATTTAAACAAAGAAAATACTTTTAAAAATAAGCTGCACATTTGAAATACCAACCAAAACTACAGAGAAGCTCAGGACTCACCTAACAACACATTAGGTAGTTACTGATGAATTTCACCACATTAAAATTAAAAATATCTGTTCAGAAGCAAAATTTAAAAACAAATGATTGCCTGGAACAGGGTATTTTTAAAGTCTACAGTAAAAAGTTAATATCTAGGTTCTAAATATATATGAGAAAGAAAAGAACAGAAATATTTCTTATCAGAGGAATGTGAGCCCTTTGAATGACCAGGCCCAGAGAGGCATTCAAATGAGACCACAATCAAGTCCTATTTGCTCCACTCGCCTTGAGCTGTGGAAGAACCCCTTAAAACTGCTGCTGTTGCCACAGCAGCTACAAATTGACCTAAGATGCAGCGCTGGACCTAACCCACACGCTCAACAACGATGCAGACCAATCGCCAACCAGCGCCACTTCTGCAAACCCCAGTGAGAATTCCTGCGTTGCCACGGGCCCGATGGGCGTGTGTGTTCGAGAGCCCACTCTCCGCACTCCTGTCAGATGTCACTGACTTGGGAGCGCCAGGAATGAGGGGGACATTGTCAAATGACCTTTGAGGAAAGGGATTAGGATAATGAGAATATCTGCAATCTTATCCTGACTACAGCAGTTTAAAAGCTAGAGACAGTTAACCCAGAGAAGTGCTCTTAAAGGAGACATACTGCCATTAATAAAAGAGAGAATTAGGTTTATTATTTGTATCTCCAAGCACAGTAACGGTGAGGTATGGAGAGGCATGTCTTAGCTCAGTATCAGAATGTGTTGTCTAAAATTAGCCATATCAAATGGAAAAAAAAAATCTAGCAGATCTCAGCAAGTTGCCAGAAACAGGCCAAGCGTTGAGGTCTGCAGCAGACTCCTGGCACAGGTAGTGACCGCAGTTAGGTCCACAGCAGCCTGTCTTACATGTGGTGAATGTCTGCTTCGGCTCAGAACTGTGCTAGGTGCTTTACAGATAATAGTCTCAGTCTGGTACTTACTAAAGCTGCAAAACCCATTTTGCAAATGAATAAACTGCAGGTCAGAGAATGCACTAGCAGAAGTGGGCTTTGAAGGCACTCCTCTGACTGCAGGATCCATCTTCTTTTTGTTACGGAAGACCTGTACGGACAGGTGTAACTTCAGCATCCCAAAGGCTCAGAGCAAACAGCCCTCCAGGAGCTCAGGTAGGGAGCATAGGTCACCAGCACAGTCCCCAGAGGATCAGCCAGAATTCACAGGACCCTGGCTGGATCATGCCAGACGTGAGCATTAGCAGGACAGGTGTGAAATACCCTTCACCCCTCCCCACCCCTGGGACCGGCATGGCTGGCACAGGCTGAGACAAGGACAAGGGGGTGGTCAGCTCTCTGGGAGACACAGGCCAACCCGCCTTCCTGAAAGCCGTGGCTGGAAGGAGGCAGGAGCACATGCAGCCTCCAGACATACTGTCTGCCCAAGGTGGATAACATGGTGAGCTCCAATCACCAAAGGATTGGGAAAGGGGCCAGCCCACCCCACATGCTAGAAAACAAACAGGAGGGGCCAGGGAGGAACCAAACTAGACCAAAGAGGGGAAAAGCAGTAGCTGATCCCGAGGCAGTTCTTTATTTCATGACAACAAATGGCAGCACCCAGCAGGAAAAGGGGTAAAGTGCTCGGAACAAACACCTAAAGGCCCCATTTGAATAAATGGCTGCAAAAAATTACTGAAATGTAGTTGCTCAGTATGATTTATAAATTATACACAAAAATAAGTTTTATGGGCTGAATTGTGTCCTCCCAAAAGATGCTAAGGTCCTAACCCCCGTACCTGTGAATGTGACTTTATTTACAAATAGGATATTTGCAGATGATCAAGTTAAAATGAGGTCCATAGGTTGGGCCTAATCCACTATGACTGTGTCCTTATAAAAGGGGGCAATTTAACAACAGAGCTAGAAACAAAGAAAATGCATTTGAAGACTGGAGTTATGCCGCCACAAACCAAGAAATGCCAAAGCATTTCTTGCAAACCACAGAAGCGAAGGCAGAGGCACGGAACAGATTCTCCCTCACAGCCCTCAGAAAGAATCAACTCTGCCGACACACTGAATGTAGACTTCCAACCTCCAGGACTGTGAGACAATACATTTCTGTTCTTTAAGCCGCCCAGTTTGTGGTATGGTACTTTGGTACTTTGTTAAGGCAGTCCCAGCAAACTTATCCAAGTACGTGTTTAAATACTGAGATCCAATAGATGGTGCAATTAATAAATGTGGCACACAAATCAGCATCTGATGTCCGTGCGCTATTTCCCCTCATGGAACACTGCTGACATCTTCTGGTGAGTGTCGTCTCAAAGAAAACAGTCTGGAAAATGCCATGTCTCTTCCTATAGAAAACTGGGGGAAGTGTCCACTCAATACCCACAGAGATCTGCCCTGTACTATAGTGCACAGCTTTGAGGTTTGAAACCAGAAAAACCTGGTTTGAATTTTGCCTTTGCCACATATTATTTAGATAACTTTGGGTAGCATCCTAGCCTATGCCTCAGTCTACTCATCTATAAAATGGGGCTAATAACAACCACCCAACACAACTCTTGTAAGGAGCAATTAAATGATTTAAAGTATATAAAGACCCTCCACAATCACTGGAGGCATTTAGCAAAGAGCTGCTACTCTTACATGGCTCTCAAATTCTCTTGCTTTTTCTCAAATGTTTCTAGTACAGAGTTCAGCAAAACTTTTTTGTAAAAAAAAAAAGGATCAGAGCTCTGTGTGCCATATAGTCTCTATTGCAACTACTCAACTCTGCCATTGTAGCACAAATGCAGACATTGGCAAGACAGAAATGAATGGACATGACTATGTCCCAATAAAACTTTATTTTAAAAAATAAGCAATGAACTGGATTTGGCCCATGTGCCGTAGATGGCTGATCCCTGAGTTAGAAAACATATTAAACATGTTTGGCTATAAGGACTTTAAATTCAATCAAGAATATAAATTATGCATATATTATTGAACTTTAGCAAGACCCATATTGAGACTTTTGAGTGCTCATTTTCAAGAACTTTCAATGCACAACAGGAAGCTGAGCAGATTGAAAACCTTATTTGAAAAAAATCAAAGAAATACTCAAAATGCACCAAAGAATGCACCTTGATTTAAAAAGAAAAATAGGTTTGAATGACAAGCAAGCAATTTTAAACATTCATGTTTCCATTAACACAAATAATATTGGATCAGAAAATTCCCACCTCTCCACCCACACTTGTAGGTAAGTATCGGATGGTTCTGTTCAGGGGCTGTTGTGTTCAGCAACACAATGAACCAGCTTTGCAAGTGAAAAATGTTGAAAGGAATCTCAGCACGAACTCGATTTGTGCCACAGTAAACCACAATTTAGATGATACTTGCCTTTTAACAGCCAATTTTTCTGTTTAGTTTCCCTTTTGTATGGGGCACATTGATTTTCAGAACTATTTGTTACTTGGAGTTTCTGACTATAGCAAAATGTCAACTATTTTCACTAATTTAAAGAAACATTTCACATATTTCTAATAAAGTAAAAAAAGACTAATAACGAAGCACATTAGGAGGAAAGACTGTTGAGAATATTTTTGATATTCATACCCTTACACATACAATGAGAAGCCTATGACGGACTGGGGAGCGGAAAGAGGCGGAAATGACGGCGCAGCTCCACAGTGGCGCGGTGCAGTCTTCCCCTCAGATAACGGCGGCGGAAGGCCCAGGACGCGGAGCGGGCTGCTCTCCGGTGTGGGACTTGGTTCTCGGTTTTCTCGCGTGTGGGGTAAGAGGAGGAAGATCTACTCAGTGATCTGGCTGCGTTTATTCTCATTGTCTCTCACTAAACTTCGGTGACAGCTGTTTAAATTCCTGTCAGCCTCCCACGTCTTCTCGCTAATCCCTCAACCCCCTCGCCGCCCCTCAAGGCCACGTACTGGTCAGCCGAGGCTGCCACGACGCCACGTCACAAACTGGGTGCACGAACGGCAGCAACCACTTCCTCACAGCTCTGGCGCCTGCAAGTCCAAGATCGGGGTGCCAGCACAGCCAGGCTCCGGTGAGGGCTCGCCGAGGGCCACCTCCACCCCGAGTCCTCACGTGGCATTTCCTCTCTGGTCATGTGGAAAGAGAGGACAGACAGTGAGCTCTTTTTGTGAGGACATTAATTCTATCGGATCAGGGTCTCACTCTCATGATCTCATTTAACCTGCATTGCCTCCGTAGAGGCCCCGTCTCCAAATACAGCCGAACCTTGAACACCCTGGGCGTGCGCTGTGCGGGCTGTGCACACAGGTCTCCTTCCAGCTCTGCCGCGCAGACGCCAGGACCAGCCCCTCGCCCTCCGCTCCCCGGCCCACGCGGCGGGAAGCCGGTGAGGACGAAGACTTTATGAGGATCCACTTCCACTCAGTGCATGGTAAAGATATTTTCTCCTCCTTACGATTTTATCAATAGCATTTTCTTTTCTCTGGCTTACTTTACGAATACAGTACATAACACATATAATAAACAAAATGTATGTTACTTGACTGCTTAGGTTATCAGTAAGGCTTCAAGTCAACAGTAGGCTATCAGTAGTCGTGTTTTAAGGAGTCAAAAATTACACATGAATTTTGGACTGAAAATGGGGGTGTCAGCGCCCCTGACCCCCATGTTGTTCAACTGTACAGCTATGCCTGGGTTAGGGCTTCAAGATGCAAGTCTGCAGGAGGACACAAACATTTGGTTCATAATAGTTCACAGGGTGTAAATGGTTTCTTGTCTTCTCTTGCTCACCATTTTGTCCCCAGGCTCTAGCAGAGATCATGGCACTAGGTAACTAATGAAGCACATCGAATAAATAAATGAATTCAGCAATAATTTTCTTTGATGACATGTAAATTGCATAATTCGGACACTTGCCTGGTCTATTAAACCTGACCTGGGGAAAAAACCCAAGAAGATGTTAAAAAGAATTCAGGATTTAAAGCAAAATTACTGACATACTTTTATGACTTCCTGTAGTACCTCCATGTTTTGTTAGGGGCTAAGATATTACAGAATCTTCAATGGGAGAAGGAATTTTTCACTTATACAAGGCTTGGTTAAATATATCCTTTTGGCCTATGCTTGAGATATACACAGTCTGCTCCAGTGGCTCCAATACATATTATAATATGAAAAGCTTTTCCAAATTTCATGAGGCAGGCAAGTCCCCTGCTTGCCTGTATTACCACAATGACAACCACAATGACTACCTATTACTATTGGCTGCATGTGGGGGTGGGGAACGGACAGAATTGCTCTGATAGCAGGAATTTTCAGGTGTGAAATATCTAAAAATTTGAACCAAATTGAGAGAAAACTGGTTTGGTTTGAACTCATCCATGAACACACTTTGTAACTTTGTGCAAAACACTTCACTTTTCCATCTAGCTCCAATATTGTATAAATGTATATTGATGGTTCAAAATATCCTATTTATTCTTCAGAGGAAGCTCCAAATAGAGACACAATGCCATTCCAAAGAGCAAGCCCATTGAGAGAATGAGAAATTACTAAAAGTCACACTCTAAGATGAGTGATGATCAAATTGCAATAATGAAACTCTATCTCCTCACTCTGCTCAATCCCCTCAATAAAATCAGAGAACAGTTGTGCTAGTGGGGACACTGAGCAGTCAAGGAAAGATTGGGGTGGTCATCTGACCATTGTCCTCTGCTTAAAGGATGAGTTCATCTAAGAGTGCAAAGAACAAAGCAAGAAGTATCCAGGGAGTTGGAGCAGTTTATTTTTCCATAGACCAAGTAATTACTGCAGACTGAGGTGTTGAAATTTCATCAGAAGCTGTATTCATAGTATTTCCCCCCAGAATAACAAGAGCCAGAACTTGAGAAAGAGAAATCTGAACAGATTCCCATCCTATTCTGATATGTTCAAAATTTGAATTATTTTGAGTAAATTAGAACTATTCTAGGTACAATATTCTTTTGTGGCCAGTCAGATGCTCATGCAATTTCCATCATAACATTGTGGACAGAGATTTTCCTGGAAGGCTTTCTATCATATGTCCAGATATACTTACACCCAGGGGGCAACAGCCTAAAAACAAGAACAATGTGTACTGATTACAGCAGTGGATCTGCTCACTAGAAATAAACAAGGCTATCAAATGCCTTGAAGAAATGAAACTAAATACGTTTTTATGCCATACAATGTGTCAAGCAAATGGTGCTAGCTGCTTTACATGTGTTACCTAATTTAAAACTCATAACAGCCCAGTGAAATAAAGATATTATTTTCATTTGATATGGGAAGAAGCAGAAAGTCAGAGGACACCTCATTAGTCCAGATGGCACTTCCGATATTTGTCCTAGTTCAAATATGTGCCTTTGGCTTCCAAGAGATGGCGATGAGATCAGCTCAGTTGTATTACTCAGGCCTTCCATGGTGGCCACACTATTCTACATTCCCATCAGTAGTGTATACAGTATTAAAAGGTAACTGTCAAGTAAATAATAGCAGGTGGATTCCAAAGGGAAGTCAAAACTTGAGGAATGACCAATATGGTGATAATTTTCCTTCTAGATATGTTTCCTCTTTTGCCTTCCAGCCTTAACTTAGGTTTGGATTTAGAACTGTGTAATGGGTGCAGTTAGTAAAAACTCCAAAAGGAGAACATATTTCTGGCCATAGAACCAAGATTTAAAAAAAAAAAAATCCTGCAAGCTGGAGAGTCTGAGAATTCTTACTTTATTTTCATTTTTTTTTCTCTCTCTCCCCAGGACCAGCCAGTTGTGGATCTGCTGTCTCAGTGGTAGCAACAATAAAATCACCTACAAAGCCCATGTCTCTGGATAGAGGAACAGGGAAGAAAATGCCCCCAGTATGTGAAAAGTTGTGGGGTGTCCCTACTCTTTCTCTCTTGTATCTCTCCACTGAAGTATGAGCACAATTGGGCAGAACCTAGAAATAAAGTGGAAACTTAAACTAGAAGAACCTAATCTTTCTGGATTCCTTCAGAGGAACTGGGACAAGAGGCCTCTAAGAACCCGACAGGATAGGGGAAACCTCTCAGAAGAGAGAGCCGGAAAACAGAAACCACAGTTCTGTGCATGAGACAACACAAGTACCAGACTCACCCTCAAAATATACATGTGCAACGAAGCTTAGCAAAGACTTTAGGAACTTAACTATAGTATAAACTACCACCCAAGTTTCAGGCCAATTGTATGGGGCATAAGAATGACAGATCGAAATAACACGGAAAAGACTGAAATCTGAACTGATACTGGCACCACCACTCACAGAAGCTGAAACAGAACTGGAAGTCTGGACCTTATTAGGTTGATTTCTTGCTCTAACCAAAACACCAACATTCTCCAGAGAAATCTAACAGGACCAGAGTCCCATAACAATTCAAATTGTTAAGGGTACGATCCAAAATTCCTTGATGTAGCAAACCCAGGAAAATCTGGCCAAATCTCAAAGGAAAGAACAATCAAAGAACAACTCCAAGATGATACAGATGTTGGAATTATTAGCCATTATAATCATAATTCATAAGATTAAAGGTTAACACTCCTGAAACAACTAGGTAAATACAAACTTCGAGCAGAGAATAGAAACTATATTTAAAAGAACCAAGTGAAAATTGTAGAACTGAAAAACAACGTCTAAAACAAAATCTTAACTGAATGGACACAACTGCAGAATGAAGATAACAAGGAAAGGAGCCAATAAAAGAAGATAGAGCAGTAGAAATTGACCCATCTTAAGGATACAGAGAAGATTAAAATATAAACAAATCTTTGGGGACCTATGTGAAAATGTCAAGACATATAGCATTCATATCATTGGAGTCTCAAAAGGCACAAACAAAGAGATTGGGGCAGGAAAATTAATAAAAGAAATAATGACTACTCACAAACTGGGTGAAAGACATAAACGTACAGATTTAATATATTCCGAAAACTCCAAGGAGGATAAACTCCAAGAATACCATGCCTAACCTAGACACACCATGATCAAACTCCTGGAAAGCCAAGATAAAGAAAATTTCCTGGAAGTAGTCAGAGCAAAGAAATCACATTACATATAGGGTAACAACAATTCAGATGACTACAGATTTCTCATCAGAAACTAGGGATAGGGGACCAGAAGACAGTAGAACAACATCTTTCAAGGAATGAGAGAAAATAAATGCTAACCCAGAAGTCTACATCTGGTGAAAACAACCTTTAAGAATGAAGGAGAAATAAAGACATTCTCTGATGCAGGAGAACCAAGAGAATTTGTCACCAACCTGTTCAAAAGAATTGCTAGAGAAAGTCCTTCATAATGAATTGAAACGATACTAGAGGGAAATCTAGAATTTCAGGACTTGAGGAAGAAAAGCAGAAATCATAAACATCTGAATAAATGTAATGAGCTATTTTTTCTTCTTATGCTTTAAAAATGTATATAATCATTAACAGCAAAAATTATAACATTGTTATGTGATAACTATAACAAAGTGAGGAGGGTAAAGGAAACTATATGGTTGTAAGACTCCAGTATTTTACTTCAATTAACTCTAAATAGACAGTGAGAAGTTAGGTATGTATTATATCTTTAAAGCAACCACTTTAAAAAGAGGAAAGAGAGCCCAAAAGCCAATAGATAAATTTAAAAGGCATACTAAAAATATTCAAATAATCTAAAAGAAGTAATGAAAGATGAAACAGGAAAAACAACAATTGCAACAAAAGAAGAGGAGACAAGCTGAAAAATAAAATGATAAACCTAAATCTCAATGATTTCATTAACTGTAAATTATAGAAACATACCAATTATAAGACAGAGATTATAAGACCCAATTCCATTCTTTCTTCAAAAAACTCATTTTATAAAAGATAACTGTGAGGTGATGAATACATTAATTAGCTTGTGTCACAGTGTATATGTTTATCAAAACATTATGTTACACACCTTGAATATATCCAATTTTTATTTGCCAATTATACCTTAAGAAAGCCAGAAGAGGGACTCATTTAAAATGTAATTATATAAACAACACTAATCATAAGAAAAATGGAATTCATAGCCTCAGATTAATCATGAAAAACATCAGACAAATTCCGGGGGGGGGGGAGACAATCTATGAAACACCTGATCAGTATTTCTCAGACTGCCAATATCTTTAAAAAGAAGGCAAGAGTGAGAAGCTGTCTCCAACCAGAGTAATCTAAGGAGAAATGTTGACCAAATGCAAAATGGTGTCTTGAACTGGATTTGAGAACATCAACAAACCAGAGTAATCTAAGGAGAAATGTTGACCAAATGCAAAATGGTGTCTTGAACTGGATTTGAGAACATCAACAAAAAAGGATGCTAGTAGTAAAACTGCTGTTGACATATAAATAATCAACTTCTCTGTTGATGGAAAGGTATTCCAAAGTAAATTGTTTAGTTTAAAAAATTGAAAGCTGAAAGGACTATACTAACTTTAGGAAAAGTAGACTTCAGAACAAGGAAAATTACCAGGGATGAATATGGACATAACATAATAATAAAGGATGACTGTACCAAGAGATATAATAATTCTTAATGCAGATGCACCTCACAACAGGCTCCAAATACATCAAGTGAAAAGGTATAAAACCAAGGAGAGAGATAGACAAATCCACAGTTAAACTTGGAGACTTGGCACTCTACTCTCAGTTACGAATACAAACAGGAGACAGAAAATCATCAAGGATATAAAAGCCTTCCAAACACTATCCACAAACTTGACTTAATTTCTACTTACAGGACAATTTACTTCAAAATAACAGAATACACATTCCAAGAGCACGTGGAACATTCACCAAAATAGAACATATCCAGCTCCATAAAACAAATATTAACAAGTGTAAAAGATCTGAATCACACAAACTATGTTCTCCAACAAAAGGGAAGTTAACCTAGAAATCAAAAACAAAGGGAAATTTGTTAAAATCCCTAAATATTTAGAAATTAAATAACATATTTCTAAATAATGCAATCGTCAAAACAGAGGTCTCCAGGGAAATTAGAAAAGATTTTGAATTGAATGAAATTGAAAATACAACATATAAATATTTGTTGTATTCTACTCAAGCATTGCTTAAAGGGGAAATAAACACTTATATTAGAAAAGAAGAAAGTTCTCAAATTAGGGACTTAAGCTTTTGCCTTAAGAATCTAAAAAAGGAAAAGCAAAATAACCCCAAATTGAACAAAAATATGGAAGTAATAAGAGCAGTAATCAATGAAATTAAAACAGTAAAACAATAGAGATAATCAATTAAAGAAAACCTGATTCTTTGAAAAGATCAATAAAGTCCTAGCAAGACTGACAAAGAAATAAAGAAGACATGAATTACCCATATCAGAAATGAAAAAGGCTATATCACTCAGACCATACAATGAAAGGATAATAATAAAATACTAGGATCAACTCTTTGCCTATATACTTAACAATTTAGATGAAATGTACTAATTCCTTAACAAACACAACCTACCAATACACAGTCAAGAAGAAATGACCTGTGCAGTCTTATGTTATATTTATTAAATAAATTAAATTTTTTATTAAGAACCTTCCAATCTATGTAAAAAATTCTAAGGATACCATAAAAATAAAAATAAACATTATAGTAAACTAGCTTATCCTTGTAAGATACAAGATCAATATACATAAGTCAATTTTATTTTTATATATGAACAATGACTAATCTGAAAATGAAATTAAGAAATGAAATTAAGATTCAATTTATAATAGCATCCAAAAGAATAATACACTTAAGAATAAATTTAACACTGTGAAATGAAAATCATAAAATATCGATGAAAGAAATCAAATAAATAAATAGAAAGACATCCCATGTTCATGGAAGACCTAATATTGTTAAAGATGGCAATTCTCCCTAACTTGGTCTATAGATTTAATCCAATTCCTGTCAAAATCCCAGAAGTCTCTTCTGTAGCAACTGATAAGCTGGTCCAAATGGTTACAGAAATACACAGAATCTATAAGTCCAGAAGCCAAGGGCATCTTTGAAGGACAATACCCCTTCTTTCTCCTGCCTCAGCATCCCTAGCATGCACACGAATCACTATGCATGTGAGACAGGCATGGCACCTCCAGCCAGATGCCCTCAGTACAAGTGGGCAGAGGGGCAGACAGGCCAAAGGCCAGAGGGGGAGGTAGACTAGGTAGCTCCACTAGAAAGCTCTCCTGGATCCCACCTGTGGGCTTTCTCTTGCATCCTATGGGCCAGAACTGAGTCCTATGTCATTCCCAGTAGCAAGGAAAATTCAGGAGGCAATGCTGTAGCCCTCCAACTCCTGACACAGAAGGATAGGCAGGAGAGGCTATGAATGCAGGGAATGTCAGGATAAGCTTCCTGGATTAACACTGTGCTTTTGTCCCCAGGAGGATTCATATTATTCATGTTAACTTGGGAAGAGGGAGTTCTGGTCCCTAGCACCACCACCCCCAGCATTTGCAGACTGACCAAGGTCCTCATTATGATTGTTCAAGTATGAAAGTGTCTGTGCAGTCTTTCACTTGAGGAGAATGTGTTTTGGTTTCTTGATGGTGCTGTGATACTGTCAAGTAGGCTGAACTGCCATTCATCTCACCAAGAGAAACTAACATTTTCAACTAGAACTTACACAGAGAAATGCATGCAGAAAATACGTGTCATCCTGCATGCCTGCAACCTCCCTGAGAATCTCCCCATCACAACAGATGTTCTCCAGCCAGCACTCGTCGAGGGCCAGGCAGAGTGGATGCGTGGCAGGTGTCACCACATTGGACAAAACCCTAGGCCTCAGCAGCCCCAGAGAGAGGTCAGCAGGTAAGCCAGAGCTCTGCCTTTCCCAATCACCTGGAACGCCCCCCGGGCATGTTGCCTGCTTCCTGCCCTGGCAGGACAGGGCTGTCCCAGGTGGAACAGGCTGGGAGGGAGATGTACGTGCTTTGCAGCCCAGAGAGACAGATGCCAAAGTGAGCTCCAGACCCCCCAACCCCACAATTTGGGGAGAATTCCTCAACTTCTGCAATAACAGGACACAGAACCTTCCGGGGTTGTGGCCAAGTTTAATGAGATGATGCTAGGCATAACAAACAGCAACAAATACTCCTCTCTCCGTAAAATACTATGTTAAATTTTTTTAATTTGGCACTCAGGGATAGTTATGTGATTGCATTTTTATATTTCTTCATCGGTCACTTTGAAAACAACGATACTTATACAAATTATTATATCCTCTTATCCATCATCTCCAGATGTTTTCCTTTGTTTGGTTTCTAATGGTTATTCTGAAATTGTTACTACAACTGAACTCTTTTTGTTGATTTTCAGAGGATCCTTATTTAAAAAAAAAAAAAAGACAATCTAGGAAACTTGCATGTCTCCCAAACTAAGATGCTCTGTTATTTCCAAACTCGTTGTTTGTAAATGTGTTTCTTCTCTCTAAGCTTTTCTCAAGGGGTTACGTTGTTCCAGATCTCTCCAGCATTTGGAATACAGTTGAGTTGCACACTTAACATTCTTCTTTAATTATGAAGCTGGAATAAACATTAGTAGATGCCAGATCCAACTGTGGACGGGGACAAAAGTGCACCGGCCAGCGGAGGAAGGAGCGCGGGTCCTGCTGTGGTCGTTCGCCACATGAAATAAAAATGATGGATGGTCCACATTATCATCCTTTGAAAGAAGGACACGGGAGACTGTTTCCATTTGGCAATTTCTTTGTTTACAAAAAAGGAAAGGTGGGAGAGGCCTGGGTTCCCACAGGCGTATGTGGTGTTTTGCAACTTCTTTGAAAAGCTGCGAGGGAAGCAAGGCCTTTGCCAGCGGAGGGGTCCTGAGGACGGTGGTTGTGGTGGCTGTGGTGTCGCACAAAGGGCTGTAGCTGAGCCCTTTTTGCCACGCTCCGGACTGGCTCCCGGAGCTGCCTAGCGGAAGCGCATGCCTAGATGCTCAGGCTCCCAAGGAACCTTAGACCCATCCCTGCAGCTATCGGCTGATTATTTTCACTCCTGTCAAGGTACAACGCTCTGGCGTCTCCCTGTGTCCACAGGTAGCACTCCAGGCCCCTTCCTCCCAGTTGCACCCCATCCCAGCCACACCCCTGCAGCCCAGACTCCTCCCTTTGAGCTTTAGCACCCGTGGCTCCTCTGCTGAAACAGTCTCCCCTTCCTTTCCACCGGGAGGACACTGGTCTTCCATGGGTGGCCTTCCCCTAGGTCAGCTGCAGCCCTGCGCTCCTCCCAGCTCGAAAGGTTCCACATTGCTGATAACTGCTGTGGACAGAACCACGTGCCCCAAAGTTCACAGGCAGAAGCCCTCACCCTCAATGTGACTATACCTGGAGACAGAACCTTTAAAGATATATTTATGGTTAAATGCATCAGGAGTGAGCTGCCTGGTTTCAAATGGGTCATTTGACTTCGGGGACTAAGGACACTAGTTGTGGGTTTCATTCTTTTCTTTCTTGGCATACGGGACCCAATTACTCTTATTCTCACATTACTCTCAAAGACCACTACCCCGTGCCCCAGTCCAGATCCCAGTGGGGGTGACTCAGGCCTTGCAAATCCAATTATCTCCTCTGGCCATGGATGGGTCCAGGAGAGGGAGAGGTGACCCAGTCAGAATCGACAAGAAGCCAAGAGACTCTGGGCTTCAAGGGAAGCGATTCTTGCCCTGGGGAAGCCCAAAGTGGGAGGAAGCTGGGTCTCTGACCGAAGGCCGCTGGGGGACAGGCCTGTGCAAATAGCAGTGACAGAGTGGCAGTGACTAATTCCTGGTCAAACCACACAAAAAGGCAGAATAACTTCTGAGTAGGATGCGCCTCTATTTTTTCTTTCCTTTTGCTTTCTTTTATTTTTTTTTTTCCCTCTTTCTTTAAGGCAGTTTAGATTGGCTTTTCTGTCAGTAGCGCCCGAAAGCGCACGGGGGAGTTTGCATCATTGTCCCCATGATTCGCCCCCACCACACTCTGCGTAGGCGGATCTGCCCCTTGCCCGCCACCATGCGGACAGCATGGAGGCGTGCTTCCCGGACAAAGCTCCCGCCAGGGACCTGCCATGACCAATCCCAGCAGACTCTGCAGAGGCATTTGCTGGGATGTTCTGGTGCTTTCTTTTCTCTCTGCTCCGAGAACATTATGTCCAGACCAGAGAGGCCCCCCTGCCCTGACTTCGGAACCGAGAGGTGTGGAGCAGGAGCACGAGGGTCGGAGCCGCCCTCCGGGCTGCCCTGCCACTGACGGGCTGCCCTTGCCGAGAGACGCCTCTGTGGAGCAGGGCGTGGCTGGCTTCCGCTGCGTCAGCCAACGCCCGCTGACGGACGCGGGACCCGGCTGTGCCCATGAGGAGCAGGCCTTGCCCCTCACAGGACGGCCCGCCTGGGTTTCTCCTCGCAGCCGGAGGAGAAAGCAAGGGGGCCAGAGCTTTTCTCAGATGCCTCCTCATCTTGGCAGAAGTCACTTTCAGAATCAACTTCACTGGCTGCGTTAGCAATCAACACTTTGCAGAAACAGGTCATAAAAAATAAATACTTGAAACTGGTCAAACATTTTCCCTCACTATTTCCAGCTCAATGTTTCCATCAGGGACAGAAAGAGCTGCCATCTTAAAATGTGCACTTACTCAAAAAAATACTACAGACTGGTGGCTTCTGAGAAATATTGGCTTTCTAAAGATGAGAAAAGAGGCCAAGAAACAAGAAAAGCCTGTTACTAAAGCTTTAGGGTAAGACAAAGTAGAAGCCGTCCCTCTTTATGGCTCCTGGGCTAATGACAGGCCTTTGGAGAGCTGCCTGGTGCCACAGAGCCAAGCACCACACTGAGCAGAGGCTGGTTCACCACAAGAGCTACGGCTCGTGAATTAAAAAAGAAAAATAATTTGCCCAAAAATGGAATTAAAAACACCAAGGAGCTCTGGGAGGATTGACGGTGATCTGAAAAAATAATTTGCCCAAAAATGGAATTAAAAACACCAAGGAGCTCTGGGAGGATTGACGGTGATCTGTCGAGAGGCTCCTCCAGACCGCGGGGCTGCGTGTGTGGCGGCCTGCTTCCTCTGGGGCCTGAGCTTGCCACGCTCATCCATGCAAGCACCCCAGGATGTGAGGGGAGCCCCTCTCAGATTAGTGGGCCCAACCCTCACCTGTTACAGATGAGGAAAGGGGCTGAGACTGCCTAAGCTCACAAGTCACGTCCTGGTCAGAGGGGAGCTGAAGCCCAGAGGCCTGCCTCAAAGCACAGGGACATCCCACCACCTCCTCGTCTTCCTGTCAGGCCCCCGGGGACTGACGGTCCCCTCGCAGGTGAGCCGATGTTCTGGCTGGAGCTGTGGGGTCGAGTTCCCCGTGCAGCCCGCTGAGCAGGGAACTCTGTGCTGAGAGTATCTGAGACAGACGGAAATGCCCCCCTGACACCCCCAAGGCACCCCAAATAATCTGATTAAAATTTCTTCCATGGAAACTCAGCTTTGAGACCGGCTTCTTCGTGTCTTCTTCCTTACGCCTTCTCACACAAAATCCCGAGCCCACTGTGGAGAAGCCTGGGGCCCAGCGAGCTTCCTGGGAGGCAACAGGCTAAGTGGTTCCCGGGTGTTCTCAAGGAGGGATGGTCACTGAGGGAGGGGCACTTCATGGGCACTCGCTGCAGCAGAGCCCACCCTGCGGGGCAATGATTCTAAAGCACAGGGAGGAGGAGGCAGAGCCCAGGGCTTGGCCCTGCTCTGGTGGGAGCCTGTCCTCCCCTCTCCCTCTCTCTTTCCTAGGGTCTCAGCTCCAAGGGGCAGCAACTCAGACCCTTTCTGCCACTCATACATCCCCCCCATTCCGCATAATCCAGGGTTCCTGGAACTTGCTCTCACTCACTGGCTTAGGGTCCCAGTTCTCCTCCAAATCTCTGCAACTATTCCCAAAGGCCCCTGACATGCCCTAAATACTTTTGCCAGGAAGCCCGGCCACATGGGCAGTCGGCTCTAGCCACAAGCCCATGGCAGCTTGTGCTGGGTCTGTTGCTCCTACCTAGCCTTATAGCAGCTTCCTCGAGGGGCCTCCAGGTTTTCTGGGCTCTGCCCTCTGAGACCACTGTCCCCATTGCTCTGATCCTCAGAGACGATCCTTGATAGCCAGTTTCTGAGATGGCTGATGCCTTCCTCCCTGTGTGTGACAGCTGGTCACCTGAGCCGGTGTTCCCTGCCACAGAGCTCTGAGTCCAACTGTTTTGACTCATGGTCCTGCCTGCACCCCCAGGAACCAGCCACACATCTGTGCAGGGGCCTGGAGAAAAGCCCACGAGACAGACCCCTTGCCATGCCCAGTGTATCCCCCACCAGGGAGGCCTTGTCCCTGGAATGAGCTCACCATACCTGCCTCCTTCCTCCCTTAATGCACTCCCAGGAGGTGGCAAGGGGACTCTGAGGGGGCCTTCCACTAGACAGCCAGCTGTGTGGCCCCCAGCTCTGGGCACAGTTCAGTCTCCAACATGCGCCCCACAGGACTGCTTTGCTAGCTATTTCCACAAAGGGTGTCTCCACTCACTAGAACAATGTGCAGGGGAGGCCTAGAGAACTGGGCCAAGAAGGCATGTGGGAGGTGGTGTCCAGAGGGCCTGGGGGCCACCTGGGCAGCTCCAGAGAGTAAGTGTGGTGACAGGAAGACTTTTTCTAGAAGATGGCCCTGCACCCAATTGGAGTGCAGCTCATTTCTCAGCTCTGTGTGTACCAGGGGACATTATTCTTTATGTCTTTAAATTAAATCTAACATGCACCAAGACTCCATCCCACCAACAGGCAAGAAATTCATCATCAATATTGGGATTCCCTCCCCACGTGCCCTGCAACGATTTTAGGGGCCTTAGGTGGTGCAGGACAACTGAGAAACAGCCCTTTGGTGGTGAGCCCACGGGCAGTTTCTGCTGGATGCACTTCCTAGGCCGTATGCTCCTTGGATGCTGCTGGGTCCTGGGTGCTTCTTCAGGCCATAATCAGCAGGCTGAGAACCACAGAGCAGCCCATACATCTTCTGCAGGGTGGCCAGCGAGTGCTGAGCCTGGCTCCCTGCCCTGCGAGGACACTTCCAAGTCCCCACCTCAAGCTCAACTGGGAAACATGGAGACTCTCTACCAAGCCTTGTTACTTGGGTCACCCCCCAAATGCACTCTCCTTGCCCCTCCGGGGCCACTTAACATCATTCCTTCAATGGTCCCAGGCATTGGAAAACAAACCAGCAGAGGGAGCACATGCTGGCAAGTTCTGCTTTCCATTCCACCATCTAAAATACCCTTAAGCACAGGAACCCAGATGTTTGGCTACTTTGTTTGAAGAGGGAATAGTATATCAAAAATAATAAAGGATAATGAATAGCTTGATAAATTTTCCTACCATGTGTTCTGTCTTCAGTTCATGGCTCAGGCACGCCATGGCAAGAGCCCCTGCCCACAGAGCCACCAGAGGAGCCATCTCCACCTGCCCCAGCTGGTGCTCTGGTATATAAAATCAGTATGAGAAGTGTGTACTGATCATAAATACTCGAGTAGCTCTATATCCAACAGTAATAAAATTATGAATCAGTATAATCTATTGATAAGGTAGTTGTAGGGGAAGCTGATGTAAGGAAGAAAATCAGGGTACAGAGCTTGTTAAAAGAGCTTGTTAAAATCAGGGTACAGGCAGAAAAACAGAGCTGCTCCAGGTACTTCATGAGAAGGAATTTAATACAAGGACCTGATTCAAATTGTGCAAAGCTCAAGAGGAAACTTTGAGGCACCCCAAGGATGAAGGAAATCAGGAATCCACTGGTCCAAAAGGAAGGGTAGTGGGCCAGAGGGGCCGAGAGCCACGGGGGAGAGGCTGTCCTACCACAGCCAGATGCATCAGGAGCCTGGGGAACACGTCTGCGATGTCTTGAAGTCCTGAGCCAACAAGGATAAGGTGCAAACTAATACAAGAGCACTGCGCAGCCCAACCAGGGAATAGCTGTGTTATAGAAAAGTAGCTTAAAGATCCTGTTAAGATCTTTGTTTTTCAGGGTTTCATTTGGAATGTCACTGTGGATCTCAATCTTTATGGGAGCCTCAGGGATACAGGGAAAACTTACGAGCCATGGAAGAGGCTCCTGACTTAGGACGGGACGGCTGACCTGCTGCAGGAGGGTGTCCAGGGTGTGCTCCAGTCTCTGAACGCCCAGGCCAGGCCAGCACAGCCCTCTTCCTAAGTGACGCCTTTGATGTTGTCATCCCCCTGCTGACCGCCTCCCACAGCTCCCCTTGTCCTAGTGGGCCTCAGGCTTCCAAGTCCCAGTGAAGACTGAGCACATTCCAAAATCCCCTTCTCCAAAATGAACCCCATTCCAAATTCATAGAAACGGAGGAGAAAATATCTTTTTTGATATCAGATGTACTATCTCAGTTAAGAAAAAAAGAAAAGGTGAGCTGTATATGAAAGAAACAAGGAGAAACAAAGTGAAAACCCCAGAAGCTGGTGTAGCCAGTGCATCCCAGCCCTCGGGGACTGGACAAGGCAGAGTTCACGGTGCAGGGGACAGTGCCCCAGAGTACACACTGATCCTCCCCAAAACCAAACGCACAGCCAACCAGCACCGGGTGTGGGCCCAAATTCTCACCCTTGCCATGGTGCACAAACCCCCAGAAACCCAAAGCGAAAACTGATTTGAAATCAACGAGCATCATACCAACCAAGTCGAGGGGCCCATGAAACTGCCCACAGGGAGATGGCCAAGGCCAGGCACACCTAGGGGGGAAGCCCACCACCAGACGGGCTCCCAGACAAGTATGAGACAGCACATTAGGAAGCCTCGGGCCTCAGCACCTGGGC